CCCGCAGGGCTTCCCTGCCCAGCTCGGGTCGCCCTACCCGCCGGCGCTCCCCCAGAGGCCGCCGCCCCGCCTGCCACCGCCCCAGCCTGGCTTCATCCTCCAGTGAGCCCGGCCCGCCCGTGCGCCCACGCCCCTCAGGCTGTAGGTGTGGGTGAGTAGAGGTAGAGGCCCAGCGTGCGCAGAGGGAGCTGCGTGGGCCGGGGTCCAAGTCCCACAGGGTCTGTGAACTCGTGGTTGGGGAGAGGTCGTCTGCTCCAACCCGGGCCGCGTCTCTGGCCACAGCTCGTCTCATGAGCATGGTTAATTCTGTTTTCATGTTAAAAGCGCCGCTGCGGCCCTGGCTGGGGCTGGTGTGTGCCAGCGGCCTGTGCCAGCGGCCTGGCCTGGTGCACAGCGGCCTGGCCTGTGTGTGCCAGCGGCCTGTGTGTGCCAGCGGCCTGACCTGGTGCGCAGCGGCCTGTGTGTGCCAGCGGCCTGACCTGGTGTGCATCGGTGCCATGTGTGTGTGGCCTGTGTGTGCCAGTGGCCTGTGTGCCAGCGGCCTGGCCTGTGTGTGCCAGAGGCCTGTGTGTGCCAGCGGCCTGGCCTGGTGCGCAGCAGCCTGGCCTGTGTGTGCCAGCGGCCTGGCCTGGTGTGCATCGGTGCCATGTGCGTGTGGCCTGTGTGTGCCAGCGGCCTGGCCTGGTGCGCAGCGGCCTGGCCTGTGTGTGCCAGGGGCCTGGCCTGGTGCGCAGCGGTGCCGTGTGCGTGCGGGCAGAGCCCCGCGGACACCTCCCTCCCGGCTGCCCTGGGCCCTCGTGGAGCCCGCGGGAGGAGGCAGTGGGAGCTGGACGCCCAGCGCCGTCCTGCCTTTGTGAAGAGCCCGCTGTGCTGTGCGTTCGCTCGGTGCAGCTGTTTTCTGTGGGAAGAGACTCCTTTTGCCTACAGCCATTCAGGGAAACTTTTTAAAGCACGCGACTGTTCCGAGCAGACTGGAATGCAAGCATGCACGGTGCCCGCAGGCGCCTGTGCTGTGCCTTAGACTCACCGGTGCCCGCCAGGTGCTGGCTCCACGGCCCACAGGCCGAGCGGGGCGGGCCCATGCGCCTGGAAGCGGAAGTACTCCTCTGCCCCCTCCTACCAGGACACGCTCTGCCTCCGGTGCACGGGCGGCCGGGGCTCCGGGCATCGGTGCTGTGGGTGTCGAGGGTTTGGAGGTGGGCACCCACTCCATGGAACCACAGCTCCCCTCCCTGCCGGGAGCTGGGTGCACAATCGGAGGGCCCGGCCTGGGGGGGGGCGCTATACCTGTCCAGCTAGGCGTGTGCGGACCTCAGCCCCGCCCTCGCCCATCACCTGCCAGCCCGCCAGGGCCAGGTGTGCGATGGGCCACCAGCTGGCCGCCGCCCAGGAACACAGCTGATCCTGGGCTTGTCCCAAAGGCCATGGGCAGGGCCATCGGCCTTTGTCCCCTGCTCCTGCGCACGCCCTGCGCCTGGACGTGAACTCTGACGGTGTTGTGAGGAAACCAAGCCGTTTGTGACGCTACACTGCCATGCAATCAAATGGGTGTGCTACGGTCTGCATCTCAGGGGGGCAGTGCCACCTCTGCTCCGTCCACTGCCGGCCGCACGCCACGGCCAAAGCGAGCGTGGTGTGGATGAGAACTGCCGCAGGCCGCCAAGCTGTCAACCTTTTGAATAAATGGAGAATTGGTAGTGCTGTCACTTTATTAGTTGGAATGTACCCGATGTTGGTTCTAGAATGTCAGTTCCAGCAAAGCAGACTGGCAGCGCTGCGCACTGAAAGCTGGTCCTCCTGTGCCTGCCGCCCCCTCCACCCCCCCCCCCGCCGGAGCGCCCAGGGCTGTGCTGCGCCGCTGTCTCATCAGAGTTCATGGTGGGTTTGACATTTTGATTTGGTGTTCAAAGGGGACCCGTTGGTGTTGCTTCCCTCCTGTCCAGAGCTGCACAGCTGTGTGTGGCATGTGCCCGCCACCCGGGGCTGAGGCGCCGGCACGCATGCCTGCTGAGCTGCTCTTGCCCCTGCATAGCCGCTTCGTCCTCTCAAGCACGGGCTCCATGACTGCCTCGTGAACCCGGGCCTTGCTGGGTCGCTTCCCTTCTTATTTGGCTCCTGAGAAGGGCCGCAGAGGGGAGGGGCCCATCTCAGCGTGAGGTGGGACTGTGGACGGGGCTCCAGGCGTCTCTGGTTTCTGGCTCTGGAAATGAGTGGAGTGGTCACGGTTTGGACACCGACTCCCTGAGGAGGGCTACCTAGTTTCTCCAGTTGCCCTGGGTTTGTATGTGGCAGTCATGTGCTTCAGAAAGCGTTCTGGTCAGGCGCTGGTGGCTCATGCCTATTCTGGAGGCTTAGATTTGGGGATCACAGTTCAAAGCCAGCCCAGTCAGGAAAGTCTGTCTCTTCCGTTAACCAGTACAAATGGTGAATGGTGCTGTGGCTTAGAGGGTAGAGCGCTAGCCTCGAGTTGAGGAGCTCAGGGACAAGGCCCAGGTTGTGGGTCAATCTTGCTGAGCTAGGCAGGGCTGGGGCTGCCTCTTATCCCCGATGCACAACTATGTGATGTACAGCTATATAAGACTACCTGAAAAAGTGAAAAGGGGCGGGGGCATGGCCGAGCACTGGTGAGCAGCTTCCTGGCAAGCAAGGCTGGGCTCCAAGGTGACAGCAAAGCACCCACACACACAGGCTGTGTGGCATCCTGTGCCCATCCCGGAAGTGCCAGAACTGAGGACAGGGAGACATGTGACCCCCCCCCCCAAGCTGGTGCTCCATGGCCTCCATGGTTACCCGTCCCTTGTCCAAAGATGCCAGAGGCCGGGCGCCAGGAGGTGGAGTATACAGAGAGCACGAATCCTAGAGCAAGAGCCGCTGCGGCCCCACACCGGGCCCTGGGGACAACAGTCAGTGTGTTTATTGCCAATGGACTTCAACACAGAATGCCCCGTGTGGCCCCCCCCCCCCCCGCAGCATGCCCCAGCTCCTGGCTTCTTCCGGCAAGCTGTGGGGCCGGGGCCACCACGGAGGGGCTGAAGTCCAGCTGAGGGTGGCAGCCAGGCCAGGAGCGTGGGAGGCCAGAGTGGTGGCTGGAAATGCGGCACAAAGCTGTGCCTGAGCCAGGGCCACGGCCCCTGGGCTGCCTAGCACCAGGCCCACAAGGGGTGACAGCCCTCCCCCCTTCCCCCCTCCCCTAAGGCCAAAGGTGCCTATGGAACCCGCCGCTCAGGGCTGCGGCGGGCCGTGCAGTATCAGCAGGGGCGCTGCTGTGCACCGCTCCGACTTCCGTCCAGGAGACCGAGGCTTTCCAGCGCGCAGACTGTGAACTCGCCAACACTAAGGAACATTCTTGGGCTCACTCGAGGGTGCAGCCCAGGCCTGCGGGCCAGCGCCAGCTGCTCTCCACAGTTCCTATTGCACACAAACGCATTCACATCCAGACGAGCTCCCGTGCACACGCGCGCGCTCCTTCAGACGTGAGGCTGTGCACGGGCAGAGCCAGGGCCCTTGGAGGGCTCACCGAGGCCAGGAGCACCAGACTCCGCCACCAGCCGCCCCGCTGGACGCCAAGCCTAGTTCACCAGCTGAGCTGGGCACACACCATCCTTTTTGTCGAGCTACGGAGGTTAAAGGTTAGGGGCTCAGTGGATGGGCCAGAAACGCGGCCTTGGGACACCCACCCTTCCCCTCCCCCCCTCCTGCACAGCCCCGGCACCTGGTGGTCCTGTCTGGGGGCCATGCTGGGCTTCTGGGCCAGAGGTGGCTTCTTCCGGGGGGCAGCACTGGGCCGGCTGGGCACCTCCTCGCCAGCGGCCTCCACGCCTCCGGCCAGCACATAGTGCTGCTTCCGCAGCTCCCCAAGGCGCATGCGCTCCGCTTCCAGCGTCTTCTCCAGCTCCAGCACTCGCACCTGCAGTCCACGGCCTGCTCAGCCCTGCCCCCAGCTCCGCCCCTCAGCATGGCACCTGCCAGCCCTGCCCCTCAGCATGGCACCTGCCAGCCCTGCCCCCGGCTCCGCCCCTCAGCATGGCACCTACCTGGGTCTCCATCTCCTGCTTCTTCAGCTTGATGAGGGACAGGCCAGAGAAGTCCATAGTGTCTATGGCCAAGAAAAGGGTATCAGCCCCCCATTCCCACCAGCCCGGGGCAGCGCCACCCCGCCAGTGCCCCTCTGCCCCCTACCCCTGCCTGCCCGGGGCAGCGCCACCCCGCAGGTACCCACCTCTGTCCTCGATCTGCTCCTGGCCTGATCTGGTAGAGGCCACCACGCCGGCGGCCCTTTCGTTGACTGTGCGGGAGCACTCCTGCAGGCGGCTCAGGTGGGCGCTGTGCTTGTCCGCTTTTACCTGGGGGTGGGGTCAGGGCAGGCCATGGTTGGTGACCACAGCCAGAAGGAAAGAGCCCCAAGCCGGGCCAGCGTGGAGCCTGGGGATGGTGGAGGTCAGCGAGGCCTCACCTTGGAGGCTGCCACCAGCTGGGCTGTGCTGGCTGCGATCTCGTGGGAGCAGACGATGAGCTCCTCGTACTTGCCCGTGTGCAGCACCACCTTGTCAGCCGACTCCCTGAGGGGCAGGGGCAGCCAGTGAGGGCCTCGGGCCTGCCCAGGCTCTGTACAGGGCCACGGCCACCCTCCCACGCAACTTACACCAGCTGTGTGGCTCCCCAGCCCACAGCCTTGGAGGCGGAGATGAGGCCTTCCGTCCACCGGGAGTTCTTTGCGTAAAATTCCTGCTGCGTGGCCGCCCCCTAGTGGTGGTGAGAGGCCGGGCAGTCAGGGAAGGGGCCTAGGCTGCCCGCCAGCCGCTGAGGTCAGAACACCGCCATGGTGGGAAGCGGGACTAGGGCATGTGTGGGGGACATCACATTTTAGGGATCCTTTCAGGACTTTTCCCCAGCCCAGGGGCACTGCACCCCGCCCTGCTCACCCTGCCGCTCTCCACGATCTCTTTCTGCAGGCTGGTGGATGTCATGACCAGGAGCCGAATTGCCTGCAGAAAGCCAAGAGGGAGGGAGTGTGGGGAGGGGGTAGGGTGCAGAGCCCCGCCCCAGCTAGCCCCGCCCCTCCGCTGGCCCCGCTCCCGCCCAGGCTCACCTTCATCAGGTCTGTGCAGGAGTTGAGGATCCTGGGAGGCAGAGAGGAGGACACTGGCTGACTGCTGTGCCCCACCACACAAAGTACAGCCACGGCCGGCGGGATGGGGCGGGACAGGGCGGGGAGGGCAGAGGGCGGGCGGGACTCACCTCTCATTCACCTCCAGCTTCACTCCTGAGCTCTCGTGGCGGGCCTGGTCCATCATGTCCTACATCCAGTGACAGCGTGAGCCACATGGAGGCCACGGAGGAAGTGGCCAGGAGCCCACAGCCCCGGGTCCCTCCCATCCTCTCAAACCTGACCCCAGACACCTCCCGAGAAAACGCTGTCCATCCCCGGCCTGGAGGCGGCCCCCACCTCAATCCTCCGCACAGCGTCTTCAATGGCTGCAGAGGTGGCCGCCATCTCCTTGTCCACCATGGCGCCCAGCTCTTCTTGCCGCACGTCCAGGCTCTTGGGCTTTAGGTCCTGGGAGAACAAGTGGCAGGCAGGTGGACTGCCGTGCATGACGCCGCTGTCGGCTCAACTCAGGAGGAACACGGCCGCAAGCACCCCACCCGCCCCGCCTCACCTGGCCCAACTGAAGGATGCCCTGCAGGGGACCCCGTAGCAGGCCGGGCTGCGCCCCCGCCAGAGCTGCCTGGTCCTGCAGCTGCCTGAAGAGCGCCAGGGCCCGGGCCCCGCACTCTCTGCATGTGTCCACCAGGCCTGTGGTGGGAGACGAGACAAGAACCCAGCTGGACCAGGCAGCAGGGACCCGAGGGCAGGCCCCCGCTCCCGCCATGGCGAGGACCCCGGGCCCGCGTACGGTCGGCAGGGTCGGTGGGGGCCAGGTGAGAGGTGGCGCCGCCATGGACGATGGTGTCCGCAGCCAGATGGGAGAAGCGAGTCACGGCTGCCACCAGGGCAGAGGCATCTGTGTGCACAAACACACCATGAAGCGCGGCGCCCTGGTTTGTGAATGAGGATGTGGGGCGGGGGACCCCGGGCGCACTGACCTGTGGTGGAGGTCAGGTACTGGGCCTGGCCCTTCTCCAAAGCACCAACAGCGTCCAGGGCCGCCTGGGCCCTGCTCACCAGGTAGTCTGCAAGCACGGGGGTGGGCGTGTGAGGGTGGGACCGGGGCTGTGTGCACAGGTGGGGAGCCTGCAGCCCCAGGGGAGGTGCGCGTGCGTACCCGGGGAGCTGGTGCAACGGAGGTGCAGGGGGTCGTCCAGCTTGCTCACGGCGTCCTGCAGGATGGCCTCGGCCTCTGCAGCGGCGCCCCGCAGCACCTCGAACTGCTGCTCCACAAGCCGCTGCCGCAGCGCCTCCCCCTGCAACTCCTGCCAGCAGGGGGCCATCAGCCGGGATCCACCGCCCCACCACAGGCTGGAGGCTGCAGGGGGCCACCTGCCCTCCTGGCAGGTCGAGGGCCACCGAGCCGAGCAAAGGCCAGTTCAGCCTCTCAGCCAGCAGGAAGGCAAACCAAACCCACGGGGGCTGGCTGACAGAGACACCTTCATCACACTGTGGGGGTGGGGGGGCCGTACCTTCTCTGCCAGCTGCCCCTGCAGCTCGCTCCTCTCCTGCTCACGGTGCTGCTGCTCCCGGCTCAGCGCCTCCTCCCGCTCACGCACCAGGCCCTGCACCGCCAGCAGCTCGGCCTCGCGCTGCCGCACGGCCCCGCTCAGTGCGTCCTTCTGGGCGTTCAGCGCATCCAGCTGCGAGCTCAGCTGGGACCCGCTCTGTGAACACGCAGGTGTGAGCGCCGCCCCGCCTTGCACACGCACCAAGCCACACCCAGGTCACGAGGCGGCGCCCGGCTCCTGCCACCGGGCCTGCTCCTGGCAGCACCTGCTCCGTGCGGCTCAGGGCTTCCTGCGCATGCGCCAGCTCTCCAGCCTTGGCCTCCAGCTCCCGCTTGAGCTTCTCCAGCTGGTCGCTCTGCTCCTCCAGCTGGAAGGGGGCAGGGCGGGGCGGGGGTCAAGGCGGGCGGCATGTCAC